GTATTCACACTCAAGGTCGAATAAGAGGATAAAGGATTGGTATTTAAATTAACCCTCACTCAGATGAGTATACCTCACAATTCTACAACATTCATTGCGGGCAACTTCAGTTATTAATATTTCATCACCTTATGCAACCTGTGTCACAGTTATCATTCAGTTTTTATCATTATATTATTTTTTTTATTTTTTTTTAATCATCAACAAACAATTAGTTTTATGATACAGTCCTTATCCACCCAAAGTTTTAGAACCTACCAAAAATGGGGATCGGATCCACTTCAGACCTTTTTGCTGCTCTACTCAAGATTGGAGGTCCAAAGCCGACAATTGCGGCCGACTCACAGAAGATGCCGTTTGACTTGGCAATTTCTCTTCTCACTTGGTTTTATTGTTTTGCTGTGCTTCAATAATTTCAGCCGATTTTATTGTCGATCTGGGCTGGTGAAAATTCTGATCGAGAGTCTTTTCAACAATATTCTATGCATAGTAACTTGTCTAGGCCGACCAGATGTATGGCATCAAGGCCGACCAAATATATGCAAATAAGTTGAAAACATGAATTCTGAAAAAGTCACGGGCAATTCATTCTATCACGCGAAAAATTCAGCTGTTTGCATATTTAATGGCATCGCAAGTTTCATTAAAAAAACAATACTAGACTTTAGAATCGAGTAATACATTTTTAATGAACTTCGTAAAAGTCAGTTACTATAAGTCTCTTAATGTGAGTTAAGGAATGCTTGTTGCTATTTTTCCGATTGAATTTCAGCTAGTCTTGCCTCCAAAGTTGTTTAATTCTCCAAATTGAACTGCATATTTGGGCCTAACATGCTCAATCAGGCTTATCTAAATCACATTTTGGACGAAATTTATGCAACTGTAATCGGTGACGTTACTTATTTTTTATGTGAGTAGGCTAAAATGTAATCAGGGATTTATGAATAAGAAATTATTCATCATCAAACAATCCAGAATGACAAGGAACTAGGGCTTTTGAAAGAAATAAACTCCATACACACTAAAAATAGGCCAGATTAGACAAGAAAGTAATAAGGCTCATTTCATGCTGGCTCACATAAAAGGAATTTGTCAAGCTCTAAACGCTCGTCATGAAAGAAGCTCGAATACAAACAATCTTAGGACACAGAAAACATAAGGTATATTGACTAAAGGTTAGTTGGGTTACCAATTCGCCTCTATACTGGAGATTGACGCCAGCTCCAAGGCAGAAGATTCTTTGCCTCGGCACCAAAATCTGTAGGCTGAAATCAACCTCCTTCTTAAATTTGCTCGTCTGCATCTCTGGTGGCATTCGAATTTTATCCAAGGATGTGCATAAAAGCGAGAACTTCGGCTAATAAGCGCCATAAAATGACCATTCGGACCAAAATATCTATCCAATCACTCTTAAGCGTCTAAAAAAGGAACCATTCATCGAATTAGGTTTCCTTAAACATTCAGCGATTGCAGACTCTCATCATATTCCAGATTTTCGGATGGTCTAAGCCTACTTATTATGAATATAAGTAGCATGATGAGTTTGATAGCGAAATAAAAGATGACTGTCATATGAATGACCGGTAGTCGTGGCAATATGACGAAATCGTTTGCTGCATTACCACGACTTGGGTTCGATTTCTGTCGAAAGTGCTGATGGAACTGAAGTACAGTCCAGACGGAATGAGTAGAATTCATTTGAAATGTGATTGCTGGAAAATGTAAGTCTCCATCACTTTGTACGACGTAGGGAGAGTAGAACACCTATTCATGATTTGTCACGATTTTCATGAATATTCTGAAATATTTCACGCTCAACTAGCCGTATTTTAGCCGTATTTTAGCCGAATGCATTCGGATAATGGGAAACTTTGCGTTCTATACCGAAAACACTTGAGCCGGTAGAGCTCAAACTGCTAATTTCATCTTTGACGCAA